TTCCTCCCTTCCTCCCTTCCTCCCACCCACCCCCCCACCGCCGCACCGTTCCCCTCCCTATCCCTGCCGGCGTCGCCGCGCGACCCCCCGAGGAAGCCTTTCTCCGGGTTAGGGGGAAACATCCCCGGCCGGGGTCGGGGATCGCGGATCGGCAGCGCCGGGCACGAACGACACTGATCGATAACCTTTGGAGCATCTCCCTCCAAATTCCCTTTGGAGCATCTCCTTTCCCCACCCAGGGCGCGGTATGAAGCGCCCCTCTCTTTGTTAGGCTCACTGGGGAAGGCGGAGGTACGCAGCCTCCCGAAAGGGCCAAAGGACGCCCGCTCTCGACCATTCCTGCAGTATCCCCCTCCCACCCGGACGAACAAACCGGTGCTCCGGATTATCCCCTGCCCCGCGACGTCACCTACCTGGCCCCGGGAGAAGGGGGCCCCGATGAGGGCCACCGAGTGGGCCAGCTTCTTTGGGACCCGCAGAGGGGAGCCGGCTTGTTGGAGGAGCCGAGCGAAACTGCTACGAAGAGCCATACTGGCGAGAGATCTCGGAGCAGAGAACCAGCTACACGCAAGAACCACCCCCACTACCGCGGCGGCACCAGCCACGGCTGCAATTTATAACCGGCAGACCTGCCGGGCCTCCGCGCCTTTTGCCCCGCCCCTTGGCTGTCGGCCCACTCGCTGCTCTTAAACGGGCCAATCCGCGCGGACCTCGCCGGGGGCGTGCCTCCGAGCCCCTCGGAAGGTGCGAAACGCCGCGAGCGAACGTGACTGCGGTGGCTTGGCGCTCTGCTCGCGTGTGCGTTCCTTGTTGTCCCCCTCCGGCCGGCAGGTCTTTCCGACGACGCCCCCCGCGCCTTCCATTCGCAGGTCGTTCCGGAATTATGCCCCCCAAAAGACGTTTCTACCTTTTTTCTTGGAATCACATCGTTTTAAGATGAAGGGTAGCTGTGTCCCCCGTTCCTCGGTTGAAAATTTGCCCGGCGATTTTAGTTTTCGCCCCTCCTACCACGAAAACCAAATTAGATATCTACTTTTTTTTTTTATTATTTGAAGGAAAATTGGGCTCTCAGGTTAATACCGTATACACGAGCGAGGTGGGGCGGGGGGACAACTCACCTTGAATTCAGCGCAATTTATTTTAGTGGGTCGTTTGAAACCTTTAAGGATGCGGGACTGGTTGGCTGACTTTAACTATTCGAGTTAGTATATAACAGAATTCTCCGTTCAGACAAATAAGCTTGTATTCTAATGAGAATCATGCAAACTTAATTTAATCATTTCCAGATCTTGATCAAAGTAATGAGACTTCTTTCCATCTATGGAGGGTAGTATTGCAGTGCTGGGAAAGGATGACACACTGAGGTTATTTATGTAGAAGCTGGAACCAGCTTCTACAGAAAGTAATAAAAACCCATCTTAAGGGTGACCCCTCTTATTCAGGGTCTGGCCTTGCCCGTCAGGTTGGCTAACTCTGTGCAAAAGCATCCCCAAGTGTTCCTGCACTTGAGTTCCACCTGTTTCCTTTGTCACATTTGCAGCCCAAGAGCTCAAAGAGTGGATTGTTATACACGCTCCATCTACACAGTCAGCCTTCATGACTATACCTGCTTACCTCTCACAGGTATTTTCTGTGCGTATTGTAGTCTCTGGAAATAACCGAGAGCTGACCAGCACCCACCCATCTACTGTTTATATCTTTTGCACTCCAAAAGCATTGCCAACTTTCCAGAAAGCCACTTCACAATTGTTCTTCTAAGGAAAGTAGGGATGAAAAGAAGTTACTGATGTAGATCAGGTTATGAAGTGTAAACTGTCCAGCCCCATTCTGGTGGGCACAGACTGAATGAAATCTGGCTTTGCTAACTCTCTAACATGTTAAAATTCAGGACTGTTCTCAAAGAGTTCTCAGAGTTGTTAGTAGAATTAACAGCGCCAGGCTATAAAAGTCTATTCAGAGATCAATCTCATTGTGCTCATTGGATCTTACTCACAGCCAGGCACACGTGCATAAGACCACAGGCTTACTTTCTTCCTTCCACAGTGTTTAACATGGGATTAGTCCTCCCACGTTTCCTCACTTAAAAGAGGTTTGCCTATATGTTCAGCTATTTTCATAGGTTTAATATATTTAAAAGTAAATGTGACTTTTTAAAGAGTCTGGCTATTTTATTGCGAACCACAAATGCAAGTCATTCTCTGTATATGATATAATTAGGCTTTGAGTTCAAAATGCTGTATTTAGCCACAAAGTACCTGACCTTGATAGAATCTTATTTTGTAGATCCCTATAGGTTAATCAGCTTCCTCCAATCAGAACATTACTAAAATTAAGACTCAGAATTTCCAGCTAGCCCAAGGCTGTTTTGTATAAAAAACTGGGATGGGAAAGGCAGGATTAAACTATGTAGTCTGAGCCACAACACTTTTTACTTTCAGAACAGATTATTAGGAGATTCTACACTTCGTGGAAAGTTACTGTCCAGGTCATGGAAAAATACTGGACTGTTTTGCAATCATTTTGCTAATAGACAGTTCCAAATGATTTAACTCCCAGATCAGATAAGAAGAGATGATTATTGCACAATTTTTAGAATTTTACACTGAATTTTATTGCTAGTTTTCAATTGTAGATTTTTCAGAGTTTACAAATGTATTTGTGATTTGTTATAATTTATGAGCTTTTGGTACTATTCTGCTTTTGAAAAATAAAACAGGCATAAAAGAATAATGAAATATCTGTAGCATATGACACATTTATTAAAGTACATTGCAATTGAACAATGCAATTAATTCAAGTAATTCAAGTAATTAATTCAGTAAGTACTAATTATGAATGAAAAAAGGAATTAAGGAAACCACCATGTGAATAAAACATGAATTATTGTGAGCAAGTACATTTTTATCAAGTAGCCTATGAGATAAAACAATACATGTAAAATTGTCTCACAAACTCTTTCCAGGAATGACACAATGCTGTGTCCATCCCCACCAAGCAAATTCAATTCATCTTAGAATCTATTCTTTTGTCCTGATTATTATTATTATTATTATTATTATTATTGAGAAGCAACTGAAATAAATGATTTGTGCAAGGAAAAAAAATGAAAGTATTCTCTTTCTTTTAAATAAATACCACCACCCTTGGAATCAAGAGGTTTTCTCATTCATTTGTAGTTTTTCTAATCTTTTCCCCCAGATCAGTGCGTAGTTATTTCTTAGGAATAATTTTTACAAGGTTCTTTTTGTGGGGCTGTGCAATACACAGGGCACGGGACCAGTCGAGGTTTAGGAGAAAATCAAAAGCCAGGAGAAAGCCGGATCATCTCGGTTTCCTGGGACTGAGAGCCAAGAACAGCATACCGCTGCTCGAGAAAGAGAAGACCAGGAGGACGTGATGCTTCGGAGATCTTGAGCGGGGCAGCTGTCGTTTCCTGCGCTGTTGCCCGGTTGCGCAACGGCAGGGAGCCGGCGGCCGCAGCAGTCAAGAGAAGCCCCCTCCGGCGACCGGCTCGCCAGCCTCTCCAGCACAACAGACAGCTCCTAGCAGGGGAGAGGCGGAGCTTCGCTACCACCGAGCCGCAGCCGGCTAGAGGGAGCGTAGGAAAAGAAGAGCCGCTCTGCGCATCTGCGAAGCGCCTTCGTGTAGCTCCCCGACTCGGAAATGGCGGAAGAGCGAGGATACCTGGCGGTCTCCGGGGCCCGCATCACGCTGCAGTGCCTCCACCACAGCGCCTCCTGCCGGGAGTTCCAGGTGCGCTGCCCGCGGCTACAGCTACGCTCTCTGAGTGCCGTCACGTGCTGCGTGTGGCTCGTGGCTTATGGGCTCTTCGTCGTCAGCCAGGTATCAGTCCGGCCGCCGCTCGTCTTCGAAGCGGGCCCTGAAGCCCGAAGGAGGATCGATTAAACTCGGGGGGGGGGGAGTGAGGGGCAGTTAAAGCCCCGCCATTACGAGGGAGCCCCCCCAAATGCTCAGCGGGCAGGCAGTGCTTCGCCCCAGCCTTCCATCCCTGCCCCTTTTGGATTGCTCTACTCTGCTCGGCTCTTAGTCTATTGAGTTCAGTAGGGATTATTATGCCACTTTATGCACCTGGATTTAGGGGTCATTTGCACCTCTTACGTGCCCTGCATGAAGATGCCCCTCCTAACCCTTTGTGAGGGATATTAACTCATGGCACTGTCTTCGACCGTTCTAGCCCACCCTGGTGGCAGCCACCGCCCAGCTTTTCTCGCTCCTCTTCCGGTGTTTTTCAGCTTCTGCTAGCGCAAGCTGTACCCGGTAATCAAGCCGTGGCAAATTGTTCCGAGGTAAGCTCAGGGACGGCCCCCACTCCGGTCCCTGGCCACTGATTTTCAAGGCCATTTGTCTTTTGGCAGCAGGAAACTCCCCCTCTGGCAGAAAGTCATGTCTTCTAGTTCTCTTGCCAACCCAGGGGGAGAGGAGAAAAAACGGTATGAAAAAGGAAGAAGGGAAGGAAATGGGTCTTCTGCTGCCAGTGCTCTCATCTCTGTAGGAATGGAGAACTGGCAGCAAAGGAGCTGTTCTCCACCATTTCTCTCCCCCACTTTTCTGTCACCTGCAGGTGGCAGGAGCAGCAGGAGGTGAGAAGGAGGGGAAAAGTGTTTTGGTGGCAATTCTTCCAGAACATTTGCTTTACCACAGGGGGGATGCCTTCAGAGATGCTCCCCCCGCAGCACAGCTGCCCACCTCTCCAATGACTTAGAAGACTGCTTTAAAAAAAGCCACCTACTGCAGCTTAGGTGCTGTGACCCCTAAAATGTGGGTGAGCAGGGTGTGCAACTGCATTTCCATGCTGCCAGAAACCCCACAGAAAAGCTGCCCATGGGGCTTTTGGTCAGTAACTGGATCCCAAGGAGGGGTTCCCCGTTCTGCCTCTCTCCTCCCCTGCTTCATTGCTAAGGCAGAGTAGGAGATGGAAGTACAGCACTTTGGTCAGTTGGCACAGCCTTCCGCCACTCCCCCTCTGGGTAACAGCTCTTCCGTGCCGTGCAGAAGAGGCCTCAGAAGCAGTACCGCCTAGATTCAGTGGGCTTATTCCTGGGTTGTATGCATGGGATTTTGGACTTAATTAGTGGCCTGCACCCACATACCAGAATAAAGTTATACCCATTTTTCAGATGTAATTAATCTACATGCTCTTCAGATGCAATCGAGTACATCTTCCACTATCCATAACCAATATACCTGTCCTGATTGCACATGTCTAGTGGCTCTGGAAGACACTCAGTTGAGCAACAGTTGAACTAAGAAGTTCTCAAAAGTGAGGAAAGAGCATGACTCTTTTCTACATTCATCTCCTAGCATTTCAAAATATTCCTTCTAATGTCCCATCGCCTTATGCTCACCTCACCTACCTCAAAAATCCCCTTAGGTGGAAATATACAGTTCTAGCACTTTGAATAGTTCATGATCCACCTTTTTCCAAAAAGATCTTTAAGCAATAATTCAAATATCTTCTGATTTATTCATCTAGAGTTGCTTAATTAAACCTGCAATCCAGTGTACAATGCATCAAATCCTGTGCAATTAATATGATTCTCTTTCTAAATGAAAATGCATATGATTTCGGTGCAGGTTAGAAAAACCTACATATCAGGAGCCTGCCAGGAAAAACAACAACTAAATGAAAGAAATTCAAAGATGTTTATGACCTCCTTGGAAGTAGTTTGGATTTCTATCTTATATGTCCAGAGAACTCCTAAACTATCTGCATTATATGTAATTACCAGTGTCATGTCTTCATCCATCCATCCATCCATCCTTGTACTTATGCTTTAAGAACCTATATGTGTTCTTATTTTGCCAGAAATGTATATTTTTACAGTTCGATTTTCCATTTTTACCTCTAATGCAATAACAATAATATATATTTTATGAAAGCCAAATGTACAAAAAATGTACAACTGTGTTTATGCAACTATTGCATCTGCATAATTTCATTTTGTACTCTTTAATATAGTACATGAGCTGCTTATTTTATATGGATTTTAATGGTAATGAGCTGCTCTTCCTTTGGAAGTCTTGTCTTATACTGATGTCTTCAATCCACTAGATAATTATATAGAATACAAACTGGCTTTTGTTTGGTCCATTGAAGATTTGTTTTCCATTACAGAACAGTATGGTGCTCTCTGCTTCGATATTTATCACACTGATTGGGTTACTTGCATACCTGCACTTTGTGAAAATTGACCAGGAGTCTCTGCTGATAATTGACTCACTTGGAATACAGATGACCTCATCCTACGCATCAGGGAAAGAGAACACAACCTTTATAGAGATGAACCAGGTCAAAGATGTGGTCATCAATGAAGCCATTTATATGGTAAGGAAATTCTTTTCCCTACACTACTAAGTAATTTTATTCAAAATGACAAGATATAACTCTTGTTAAGATGTTAAGATAAGAAAAAAATTGAATATTTTATGTTCTTATAGAGAGGACTCTGAGGGAAAAAAGTTGTGCATGTGCTTGTTCAACATCATAAAATACTCTGTTTCACTGCTTATTAATTTTAAAATGGGAGGACTCTGAAGGCAGCTCCATCAATTGATCGTAATAGAATTGGGATGGTTCTGGAACTGCCCAGCCATGAGAGCAAGTTAAATTCTTGATTCAGTTGGCAGATGGGTAGTGTGGGCAGCAGACTTGTTTGCTTTCTTGTCAAAAATAGCTAACTGCAAATTGCTTTCTGTTTAAAAACCACCATACATTTTAAGATACTAGTCCCTGGAGCTGTTTCAACAATCAGAAAATGAGTGAGAATGCAGTAAACAGAGACCTGGTATGCAAAGCCTCAATGTTGTAAATAATCTTTTCTTTAGCAAGCCATGTTGCTTCATGCGAAAAGTTAAGCCATAAACTGGCAAACTATGCCTTAGCACATATGCGAACCCAGACATAGTCAATAATGAAAACTTGAGGTGATTGATGAGATGAGAGTGGGTATATAAAAAAGCTCTGTTCTGAGATTGAAGGAACTCTTTAAAAAAGGAGGCTTATGTGTGGTCAGTTAGTAGTTGGAAGCGTCTCTATTCATATCTGAATGCTGTTCTAAAGAAACCCACTGACGCAAATATTATTTCCATATGTATCTGTCCATAGAACATAGCGTGGATAGCAATCTCTTCTACGGGATTGTTGTTTTAAGAGCAGACTCTAACAGCTGGTATAATTGCTTTCTTACTATCCTATTTATATATTGCTTTTAGCAAAAAGTTATCTACTACCTGTGTATCCTTCTCCGAGACCCTATTGAACCTCATGCTATTTCTGAAGTAGTGCCACTATTTCAAGTAAGTTTAAAGTGTATTCCTGAAGATGTTAAGATTGCTGTTCCTTGATATTACACCATATGTTTTGCTTGCTGAAATGCCCCTTGAAAGCCATCTGTTTGCTTTCAATATTTCTTCTGTGGAAAATACATAGAAATTGTAAAAATATTAAAAATATTTTTTAAGTTAGAGAACAGCATTTTTACGTGACCTTTTTCTCAATCCAATGTTCAAGAACATAGAGTATGTGTTTGTTTGAAACTTACTGACTTGCAATAACTATGCCTTTAGATAAAGCAGTGACGTGCTCAGTTGAGCATGGACTGACTGCTGAACTTTTTAGATAGTTAATTTTGCACAGGTAGGTGGAGTAGTAACCCTTGTCACCCTTTGATGCATTTAAGTTCTTGTTTTTCTCAGTTATGTCAACTCTAAAGAATACAATTTACCACCTCACTGAGCCCATTAACACTTCTATAATCACGTACTAAATTAACCTGTTTTTCTATGAAACTTCTAGATGTACTGTCCACAAAGAGAGTTTCCAAATGGACTTTATTCTAAGATGTTTTCAGAAGGTCAAAAATAGCTAGAGAGCAGAGAGTAGAAAATTATTGAGTAGGTTAGGAATAATCTATAGATACATTACCAATAGAAAAGAATATTTGTAGCTCACATTTGAACTGTGGAGTCCTTGGTGCTCTCTGAGGTTGATTGTTTGCTTGCAGATGTTTCATTACCCAACTAGGTAACATCATCAGTGCAAGTGAGTGTGGGGTTTGCTCCCTGCTTATATATAGTAGCTTGCCCTGCCAGTGTTGGTGGAGGTGTGGTTTTCTCCTTGGTAGTTCCTTGATTAGTGTATTGTTTTCTGCTTGATTGTTTCTCTGATGTTAATCCTTGCTTATCTGTTGTTGGTTGCTGGAGAGGATGTGTTCTGGTCTTTTTGTTTCCTTCTTAGCTTTTTTTTTTATTGTCTCTTTTGAATGTGTGTAAATGTGGTATATCTTGATGTGTCTATTGATAGCTGATTTGTCTGGATGCCAAGCTTCCAGGAATTCCCCAGTGTTTTTGGATTTAGCTTGGTCTAGGATGGTCACATTTTCCCAGTTGAAACTATGGTTGAGTCTGTCCATGTGTTGTGAGATTAAGGAGTTTTCATTGTGTCTTCTGATTGCTAGTTGGTGTTAATGGAAGCGCTCTGCTGGTCTTCTGCCTGTCTGTCCTACATAGTGGCTGTTATACACGGTGATGTCATGTGGTGGTAATAGTCTCTTGGGGTAGTGTGCTGTGGATATCCTGATCATATCCTTCCTGGATATCCTCATCAACAGAGGATATGACAGCAAATTAGAAATGCAAGTCTGTTGAAAAACAACCCACACTAACCAAGTGCTCCATTACCAAAGTAATAACCCAACCTCCCACAAGAGGAGCTGTCTAAGTACTTTATTCAGATGAGTACAAATGCACTGCAGCAACCCAGAACACCAGAAGAAGAAAACAGACCGCCTATACAACATCTTCCAATAAAATGGATACCCATGCAACTTTATCAAAAAGTTCCTGACCGCTCAACCCACAACCAACACAAGCTATGAAAAGGATGACACTGCCATACGTCAGAAACATCTCAGAAACCAGGCTATCAGAACCATACAGCATCACTGTAGCACACAAACCATAAAGCCCTCCAAAACATCTTAAGTAAACCAAAAGAACCAGTAGTCCAAGAAGAAAAAACAAGAGTCATCTACAGTATACAGTGTAAGGACTGTAACAACCATTATGTAGGACAGACAGGCAGAAGACCAGCAAAGCACATCCATGAACACCTACTAACATTCAGAAGATACAATGAAAACTCCTTAATCTCACAACACATGGACAGACTCAACCATAGTTTCAACTGGGAAAATGTGACCATCCTAGACCAAGCTAAATCCAAAAACGCTAGGGAATTCCTGGAAGCTTGGGATTCAGACAAAACAGCTATCAATAGACACATAGAGATAAACCACATTTATAATCCATTCAAAAGAGGCAATTAAAAAAAAAAGCTAAGAAGGAAACAAAAAGTCCAGAACACATCCTCTCCAGCAACCAACAACAGATAAGCAGGGATTAACACCAGAGAAACAATCAAGCAGAAAACAATACACTAATCAAGGAACTACCAAGGAGAAAACCACACCTCCACCAACACTGGCAGGGCAAACCACTGTATATAAACAGGGAGCAAACCTCACACTCACTAGCACTGGTGATGATATCTAGTTGGTAATAAAACATCTGCAAGCAAACAACCAAGCTCAGAGAGCACCAAAGACTCCATAGATACATTAATTTGTTTCTTAGTTTTTTTAGCCTAGTTCAGTAACAGTGAATATTATTATATATTGATTATTCTTTAGCAATATGTTATAATATTTTTTGTATTAATGAAGATGGAGTTCTAGGCTGAAGAAGAAAAAATCAGTTGGACTTAATGAATTCAGGCCTTTAAAAATTTTGACTTTTCCCTCTAATTATTTATTTTTTCTCATTGTATCTTCAGATATGCAGGCAGTCCCCAGTTTAAGAATGAGTTCCATTCCCAAGGTCTGTCCTTAAGTCAATGTGTATGTAAGCTGGAACAGTATTATTGTATAATACTGTATAAGTAGTATTGTATAATTAACTCGAACCATTGTGTATTTAACTCAAATCATTGTGATTTAACTCAAATTTTGTTACAATAGGCTCCTTCTTAACTAAGGGTTGTCCTTAAACCAGGCGTTCTTAATCCAGGGACTACCTGTACTTCTCTTGGAATCAGAAACTTACAGTTTGGGAACAAAAATTGTAATTCTTTTTGTTTTGTTAGCTGCCAGAAGCCTTCTAAAGATAGGAGATGGATTTATATGAACCAAATCCTCAGTATATCTAAAGCAAATACAATGTTCAGTATGCAAACATTAGGGTTAAACATGAGGTAGGTGCCATAACCATGGAATCCTGGAGCTGTAGACTAGACTGGGAAATCAAAAAATGTCTTGAAAGCACATCATGTCAGACTACTTCCATAGTATTGCCAAGAAAACTTCATCAATGTGTAGCTGGTGTAGTCACCAAGAGTCAGGTTTGACTGAAAGCAGACTTTACTTATGAATGAATATGTATATGATAGTCCTGCTCCCAGTAATCTTTTTATACAGAGCGCTAAAATTGAGTTGTTCATTTGGCTTTCTCTCCAATATCAGGAAGATTAATTTATCAAGGAACTCCCAAGTTGGGGAAGTTTATAAATGTGTTCAGCTGGTTGTTGTGGTTGTCCTGTAAAATACGAGAAGCCATATTAAACACCTGTTCTGTGTCAAACTTTCACATGATTTCAGCTTCAAATTCAAATAAAATGTCCTCTTTATTTATAGAGCTCCAAGCCACGTCTAGACTGCCTTGTAGAAGTATACAAAAGCTGCCAAGAAATCCTGGAGCAGAGGAAAAAGTCTTGATATCAGCTTTTAATCTGAAACTTTTTTTCAAGACAGAATAACCACAATAATATAATTTTCCTCTCAAGGTATTAGGTAAAGCTTTACAAGGTAAGCATATTAATCTTCTTGGCTATGTTGATAACTAGTAAGAGTGGATTCAAATCCACCAAGGAACTGAAAACTGCTAGTGCCTTTTTGAGCAAGGATTGAACGTGCAGCCATGAAGAAATGTTACAGAAAAAAATTACTAACCCAGGTTCCACATTTTCTTCAGTCAACATAATGATGTAAGAAACTCAATGATAATCCTTTTTTTCTGTCAAAAATTAACCCTCTCTAAATGACTGGAAATCTACAAGGAAGGTTCAGCAGAAATAGGATGAAAATAAGGGATTTTCCCTTTCCTAAATAAAATTCTATGGAAGAATGGAATCTGTCCCTATTAAACTTTGTTTTCTTATAATGTTGAGTTGTGAGATATGCTTACATCCAATAGTGTTCCTTTTACAGTCTTAATTTTGTTCATTAGCTTTACATTACTTGTATTAATGGATTTTGATGATTGTAGAAGTAGTTTCCGGTTGGTAGGCGAGATCATTTGTATTTATGGAATTCATAAGCAGTACTGATTTTTCCTGGCCATATGAGGATGAAGTTTGGTTTTACAAAAGGCCCACTGGAACATTAGACACTTGCTTCTTGAACAATAGCTCCTTCTGCCCAGACATCTACACCTGAAGCTGCATTTTTTAACTCAAAAGCTGAGTAACAAAACTCCTATTAAAAGAATACAACAAAAGAAAAGTTTCTTATTGTATTGAAAATCACATTTATCAACATCACCTTCATGTTAATACAGAATGTCATAGCTTCTGTGTACATCAGCATAATTGTAAAACAGTGTAATTTTTCATCAATTATTTCTAATGTCCAATTAGGACTAGGTGACTTGGTCAGTATAAAATTTTGCTATAATGAAATGAAAAATCTGTCAAAGTTGCTGCACAGTTTTCTGAAGAGATGAACTATAAATATTTAGTAACATGAGAACCTGTATGAATCAGAAGAAAGAGAGATAGGTTAAGATCTCACTTGGACCAGCTAATATGCTTCCAAATGTGAGTCTCAGTTTCCTATTTATAAAATGGCGATTTTAAATTAGTGCATAATGTTGTGATGACAAACACAACTGGAACTGAAGAACTTTCAGCCCAATGTAAAAATGAATTATCATTTACTAGTGCAGGTGCTTCTTGAACTGCTATGCCTGTTAATGTAAAATGGAAGCAGTAGGTGAGCTTTCTTATGCATGAAAAAATGCAGTTAATATGTATGTCTTTCCATATAAGTAAGCTAAAGGCTGATATAAGAGTAATGAAACTGTTCAGATTTGCTTCCAGCTTCTAATCTTATTTGGAAGTAAGTAATGAGTGGGATAAGCATTTCAATGCATACTGTTTGGGAATAAGGGATGCTCAGAATAGTAGTCAACTTGGCTCCTGTAGGTGAAACAAGAAAAATACAGGCAGAAAAGAAATACCAGACTCTAAGAGTGTCATAATTGCTGCTTTGTCCATAAATATAAAAAGGTCCTCTATTGAGGTTAGACAGTTGACAGCTGGGAAACACTGAATTAATAGCCATGTATAGGATGAAAAAAATCAAGAAGAAAGCAAGTATCACAAAGTTATCATAGTATCACAGATTTCTGCCTGTTTAAATCATATGCATAGTTAAACCTTAGCCTTCTTAAAATTGTTAATGTGTTTTGAACTTGAAATTAAATCAAAAAGCACTCCTGATCAAGAGGTTATATAGAAGAGTAACCCAGAGGAATGAACCTGAAAGTGTAAAATGGTTGTGATCAAAGTTTCTGCCAATGCATATTATATTGATACAATAAAATTTCTGATTTTAGACTGCTGTGTTGCTTTTTGCTGAGGATGCATATCAAGGCATACACCTGTATATGCATGTAAGCTGAAAACAAATCTTCACACATGTAGATATTCTTGCTCCTTTGGGGATAGAGTTTTTCTGTGCTTTCACTGCATACAGTACCATGGGAAATGCCCAAAGTTCATGAATATGCTTATCAGATTAAGCAAATTTAGCTACAACTTTTAACAGGTCTATTACAATAAAAGGTACTTAGCTGAAGAATCTAAGACTGGCATCTTAATTCTGACAGGAAATTGATATCCCAATTTCCAAGTATTAGTTTCTGATGCAAGAGTTCACTGGAATTAATATTAACTTCCATTGGTTAGGAAGGCAAAAAGAACATCATTTAAAGTGTATTTATTTACTAGCCACACTCTTACCTGAAATAGGACTCCAGAAACTATTAACTCAAATTATTTTGTTTAAAAGTGATGTATGCCAATAGTGAGCACATTGAAAAATTAATAAAACAGTGATTACAGTATTACAAAGAATGTACTTGTGACTGAAAAGAAAAGACAACTATATGGTGCAGGCCAAGAGATTATCCTGTTGGTGAATGTTATGCTCTGTCACGTATGATATATGTATATTTGTTCATAATATTACTAAATCCCCAAAGCATTTTGCTATCTAATTTTTCTGAAATTCAATTTTTATTTTGTCATGCACATCAAAATACATCAATGGGAATAATATATTTCAGTGAAAGTGCATGTGTGTGTGTGTGTGTGTATCTACACACACTCAAAAGTCTGAGCAATATTCAAGCCTACAGTACAATACCTGAGCTAAGATTTAAGCATCTTTCATATATACTAATCTTGCTTTCCTTAAAACTTACAAAAGAAAACATTCCACAAACTATCTAACTTGTGTCGCTCAGCTGCTCTTATCACTAGTCTAGTGTTCTTACTGTGCTTCTCCAAATATTTAGCTTCCTGTGGCCTTGACCCACTGTTTCATTTCCTGACCTTGGTGCACGAGATGTGTAATTGATTCATATGTACATCCTTTGAGCAGAGCCTAAATAAATGTAAAACTATCAACATATCTCCCATGCAACTGGATGTCATGCATATTTACTTGAAGTAAGTGCCACACTTCAAAGGAACACCCTCAAGGGTACCCTGCATTGCAGGCTTAGTTTTCATTCTTTTGCTTGAACATACTGGTTCTCTCAACTTTTTTTTTTTTTTTTAACTGAGTATGTCTTCTAGATCTGTTGTCATCCTTACATTTCTTGTTTCTAGTTTCTCTGCATGTTCTTGCAATCTGTTTTTAGAATGCAGCATTCCACAAAAAGTTTTCTTGGTATCAAACCAAGATGTATGACCGGTCCTCACACTTATGACTGTCACAGCATTCCTGCGGTCATGTGATCAAAGTTCAGGAGCTTGGCAACCAGCATGTATTTACAATGATTGCAGCATCGTGGGGTCATGTGATCACCATTTGCAACCTTCCCAGGGCTTCTGACAAGCAAAATCAATGCGGAAAGCCAGATTCGCTTAATGACCATGGGATTCGCTTAACGACCATGGGATTCGCTTAATGACCATGGCCAAAAAGATCATAAAATCATGTGTGACTCACTTAATGACCACATTGCTTAGTGATGGAAGTTCTGATTCCAATAGTGGTCATAAGGAGTACCTGTACCTTAAAGCTGACTTATGTTCATGTTGGTATCTACTAAAAATCTTGTAAAGGTTTGCCAGGATATGCCTAGCAATCTTAAATTCTGGCAGTGAAAGAAGGGGAGGTGTTTATAAACATATCTTGATATCAACACATTATTACATACTGACTGCTTATCTATAACACTTGTTCACCCATTAAAGTAGGGGCCAATCTCTGTATTATTCAGGCCATGGTTCATTTTGGAAGTAATGACAGCATCACTCAGCAGCCTCACTTAAGGCTTCACATTTATGAAGTCTAGATTTGACTAAATCTAAAAATCAGAGAGTTGTAAACATAAAACTCTGAAAACGGTTGTGTTTTTTTTTTTTAAGAAATAATATATGGGTCATATATGGGTCATTATATCTTGAGTAAATCTGCCATTGGTGCTTGAGTGCCCATATCCAGCCACTTTTTGAGTGTTAAATAGTAAATTTGTGAGAAGCAGGTACAAAGTTGCTGACACTGAGGAAACCCACCTCCTGGTTATTTCCTATTTCCTATACAGTACTAGGTTTTCTTTTTCAAGAATAACAGCCCTCCCAGTTTAACCTTTTTCTCAAGAGTACCATATTATGTGAAAATCAAGTACAAAAATCCTTGGGGCTGAGACAATTTCGTTAGCTAGTTAATTCCATTTACTAAGCCCGCTTGAAACAGCAACCTGATTCTGATAGTTGCACTCTAAATTGTGTGAAGTCTTAGATTCAGGGCTGTGCAGCTCTTTGGGTGCATGTAGCACCCACCAGCAATTTCTTAAACCAAGTACATCTTTTCCTGAGCCCAAGTTGCAGTTGTGGAAGGCAGTCATGCAGTCCCAGGAAGAAAGACAGCCCTACATTTTAATGGGGGCAGGATCCAGTGGGATCAGTGTATTATTGTGGGACAGTTATATAACTCAGTGAAAACTGTAAACATGCTATGAGGTATATAATACAGACTGTCCTACTCAGGAGGTGAAACAGGAAAACAATTTTTTTTTTTTGCATACCAGAATTTTAGGTATATAGAACTCAGTTTCATTGGAGTAGAGTTTTTTTTCCCCAAAGAAATTATTGTCCCTAAGTAAGACTTTTTTGCCTTGAAAAGCTTGCAGGTCAAAAGCAGATTTATGCATATTCAGGAAAACATTAATAGCTGAAAAATTCTGATAGGGAACATGATATGAATATCAAATTATTATAAAAATTAGTAGGAAGATTCTAGCAGCGGGGAGTGTTGCCTGATGCCAGATGCAACATTTAGAAAACAAGAACCTAAAGAGATTAGACTTAGTGTATATAAACATGCTGTGAAATCAGCAACTTTGAGACGATTGTGAAAGAATGGGGAATCTCTGATGCCATTTGAGGAGATGGATTTGGGGATATGCTTCAGAAGGAAATGCAGATTTTAAAACAGAAAGTAACAGGAACAAAAACAGTGAAAAGTACCTTTATCCTGCCTTAAGCTTTTTGGAAATTGTAGTTCACCATTAAGAAGACTTGGAGCCTTCCTGATTTAACAGAGCACATAGTCAGTGAAAGCATAGAAGTCTTCTATTGATCATGTGTCAAAACAACTATAGGTCAAACCATTGAAACAGCCCTTACAGCAGCATAGGCCCCTTAGAGATCTGTGGCAGGCTAGGAAAGAAAGATTGGCTTTTGAGTTGCTACATGATGTAGTGTATGGAGAATGTATGCTTTGAGCAGGCAATGTTGGAGGTAGGTGGGTTGATGAAGAGTCGCTAATATAACTGGCAATAATGAGAGAAACTTCAACGATCTATTGGGAGAGTAAAAGGAAGACAATATTTTAATAAAGATAATATTTTTGAATCTATAGTAAGCTGGCATTCCAAAACAATGCACTGTATTGTAAGCCAAAACCTGGTACTGAGTCAGATATATATGAGTGCTTTTAATTTTATTCTGCCACTCCAGGCTGATTGCACAGACTATAAAACAAGGGCTGCTAGATCTAAGCTGCAAAATTCTGGATGGCCACGTGATAGCAGCAGAGTTCCCTAAGACTCTAACTCTTTGCTGCCATCTAGTGGTCATTTTGTACAACTATAGAAGAGCTTCATTTTCAAACCCTATGCTTAAAAGTTTTTAACCAAAGATGCCATAAATTAGTTCCAATTAAATATACTTGTACACTTTATGTCTCAGTTTGCAAACATAATAGGCTTTATTATAAATATAGGTCAGTTAGTATTTTTATTGATTTTAAATATTTTATCAAGATTTTAAAGATACATATTTAAAAGTTAGAAATGAAAAAGAAAATTTGAAATACAAAAT